GCTTGGCACGGCTCCTTGTAAAATCCTTGTAATCGGTCCAATAGGAAGCACCAATGGATCTCCTTCGTCGTTCACCATGCCTCCTTGCGATCCAGTGACGAGTGATGATGGATCCGTATCACAGTCTAGCTTTGAATCGTGGTTGGGAGCTGTGTTCTTCCTGCTTGATCCTGAACACCCACTTGTTCTTCAAAGCTTTCTTGTCTTTAGGCAACTTCACCAGCTCAAATGTTTCATCCTCATGCAAGGACTTCATTTCATCTTGCATGGCTTCAATCCAGTTCCTCTTGTGTTCGTTTCCATAGCTTCTTCAAAGCTTTCAGGTTCTCCCCTGCCAGTCGTCAGTACATACTCATTGACTGGATATCTAGTAGATGGTTATTAAACTCTACTAGATCTTCTTAATGTTTGAGAACCTTCTGGTGCTAGTGGTTGAACATGAACACCATAATCTTCATCTGGTTCATTGTCATTAGGAACTTCTGGATTTTCTAACTCTGGCACTTGTTCTTGTGGAACATTTTCTTCATCTCCAATTTGTTTGCATTCTATTGGAGGGACTCTCTGTATGTTGTCTGTTGAGTCTTCATCAGATCTATTGGCACTCTGGCTTCATATCTTCAATAGTCTAACAAAGCTTCAATATCTTCAATAGTCTGATCTTCAACAAATACATCATCATGATTTCTTATAATCGTCTTCTGGATTGGGTCATAAAACTTATAGCCAAATTGGTCTTCGCCATAGCCAATGAATACACATTGTCTAGTCTTGACATCAAACTTAGACCGTTCATCCTTTTGGACATGTATGAAGGCTTTGCAACTAAACACCTGCAAATGATCATGGGTCCTAACCATACTCTCTCTGGAGTATCATACTGTAGAGGGAAACAGAGTGAACGGCAAACTGCTGTGAGTAACGCTTTACCCCAAATCTTTTAGATAACTTTGCACGTGAGAGTAAACATCTGACTCTCTCTATCAAAGTTCTGTTCATCCTCTCAGCCAAACTGTTCAGTTGCGGCTCTTGGGGGGTGCCGTTTGTTGTCGAATGCCATGGTCTTTGCAGAAAGCATCAAATGGCCCAGTGTATTCTCCACCATTATCTGTCCTGATACATTTCAGCTTCTTGCCTGTCTGTCTCTCAACCAGATTTAGAAGACTTCAATGTGTATACCCAGGTCTTCCTAGAATGGTCATCGATAAATATCACAAAATATCGATTTCCACTTTCCACCATATGACATCGTCAATGGTCCACACAAATCTGAATGAATAAGATCTAATACATTTTTCATTCTGGAAGGAGGAGGCTGAGAAATCTTGAAGGCTACTCTATTCTGCTTTCCTGCCATACAATCAGAACGTTTCTCTAAATGGACTTTATCCAATCCAGATAGCATGTTGTTTTTGACCAGAGTTGTCATTCCTTTCTCACTCATGTGGCCTAATTGTTTATGCCACAATTCAACTGTACTGTCATCCTCTGCTACATTTAAAGTATCTTGGGGGTGCTTCTCATGCATCACGTACAACTTTTGGTCTTTAGCTACCACAAATTCACAAATGAACCTTTTGTGAGCTTCCACTGACCATTTCTGAAGGTGCTACAAAAACCTTCATCATCAAATCTGCCAACTGAGATTTGGACACATGCTCCAAAGCCCATTCCTCATCAGTCTTCTCTTCCGGTTGAGTTCAACTAAACACAGGCAAATGCATTTTGATTACCATAAGGAGATCTCTCGTTTCTCCATATATGGTAATTCCCGCCATTTAGACTGATCATTTTGCTTGTCCATTTTGACTTGTGCAGAATATCATCACCAACATAAATCGTATACATAAACAGTAGTATACGTGAATAATGACCATGAATAGTAACCGTACACGTAAATAGTATTATGCGTGAATAGTGCTGGGCGTAACGGGCTCAGCAACAGTAACGCCAATAGTACGGTTCACCACCAACTTTGAGTTACTATTTTACTATTCATCACTAAGTCGATTCTGCAACATATTTCCGAGCGGACAGCACCAATGGACTCGTCGTAATTTTCTCTTCATCGTGGTATATTTATTTTCAAAATATATCCACGGATCCGGTACCGCTATCAAATGATCCACGGATCCGAACCGCTATCTGACCTGCTGGACCTGCCGAAACCTTCGGCTCTGATACACTTGTTAAGGCACGGCAATAAAATTACGAAAATAATTACGGCAGCGGAAAATAGAAATGAGACACACCGAAAATTTACGTGGTTCACTTTAACTGTTTAGGGGCTACGTTCCACGGGACCAACTCCGAATATTTTCTTCCACTATTAAAAATATAGGCTTACAAAGAGAGTAATAACAAAAATGTGGGCACTCAAAGTGTTTCCAAAAACACACCCCAATAAATTCTTCATATTTTTCTAGACCCTTAGTCTTTAAGAACCCTTTCTTAAAACTAAACTAACTCTCTAACTATGCATTTTAATCGCTTTGTTGGCACAAAATAACATAGATGTGTTTGAAATGAGGCAAATCCTCTCCTATTTATTACGGAGAGGAAGACGGAGAGAGCCGTGTATAACTCAGTCACGGCTTCTCCATATTTTGACCAATTCTTTCCTTTTTTTTCTGTTTACACGTGTTGTGGGGTCCCATCTGAGTTGGCACCGCCATACCCAATAAAAATGAGGCAAATCCTCTCCTATTTATAGGAGAGGAAGACGGGAGAGCCGTGTATAACTCAGTCACGGCTCTCCATTTTTGCCAATTTTTCTTTCCTTTTTTTTTCTTGTTTAACACGTGTGTGGGTCCCACTGAGTGGGCACCGCCATACCAATAACAAAACCCCACTAACAAATGTGGGTTCCACTTGAGTGGGCACCGCACAGCGAATCAGTCACTAAATAGCGTGAGGCGTGCGACGATAAATGGTGAGGTGGTGCTGAGTTTGAGAGGAGGGAGGTTCTTGATCGTGAAAGAGAGAAAAAAGGAAAAGGGGAAGAGAGTTTTTGCAATTTGGCTTAATTAGTTTCTCTTCAAAATTAGTTTTCGGTTTGATTAGCAAAAGTTTCTAGTTTCTTATGATTTTCAGCCAGTTTGGCTTGGTTTCTTCCCGTTTGATTTGGTTAATTTTGATTTTCTTAATTCCTCTACATTATTCCTTAGGTTGGGTTTTATTTTGAAGCACATATGGACAATCTTAATGGGTTTTAGTTTGAGTTTTTGATTCATAAAACACGCTTTAAATAATTTAGATAACTTAAGAACAATAAAATTTATTTTTGATTTATTTTTAAATCCAAAACTTTTAAATTAAATAAATCGGGACATTTCATTTAGTATTTATAAATAAATTAAAACTCAATTTTTTATAATATAACAATCTTGAAAAAAGATAGATAATCAATATGAATATGCTTTACCAATAAATTAAGAGTAGATTAGTTGAAAATCCAAAATCAAACCAAGTCAAACCGATGAAAGATGTAGAGAAACCAAAGAAATCAATTAAAATTGAACCAAGCTTCCTTGAATCGAACTAAAATCACTTACAATTGAAAGAGGAGCCTCAGATAAAATCTTTTTCCTCTCTTACGCGATCTATCGCTCTCACTCATATCACGCTACAACTCGCTCTCCTCCATTACTGGTGATCAAATGACCGTGAACTTAACTCAAGATGCTGCCCAATCATCAGCTTCAGTCATATGGTATTGTTAAAGCTGTTAATCCTCTTTCCCTAATCTCAACAGTCGTAATATTGAGAGAAATGGTTCCGGCAATGAAATCAGTGAAGAAGACCTGAAAATGAAACTCGTTACTCCTCTAAACCCAAGCCCTCCATTCATTTCACCCATTTTGTTCTAATTTCACAAAAAGAGGAATGGAAGGAACTGTAGAAAATTACAACCTTGTGGCTCTGGCAATAATCACCAGCTTCGGTGAATTTCAATTGAAAATGTTAGTCAAGAACAATTTCTGTCTTCGTTTTATGGATTTAGACACGGATTTAGCAAGGGTTTATACATTGGTATTGTATTTAGATACATCTTACTAAGGGATTTAGCAACGGCTTAACACAAAATGGTAGCAAATATGGTTTCCAAATAGACATGCTTTTTAGCAATGGATTGGATTCAAATTAGTAAGAGTAATATCTATTGCTAAATTAGCATCGGATTGCTAATTATTAAAAAAAAAAAAAGGCAATATTTAGAAAAAAAAAAAAAAACAATCAAAATTAATATGCTTGAATACATAAATTCACCGTGAACTTTACAATTTTAAAATTGCAGTACCTTGAGCTCTGCGGATGATCTATCAAGCACTCAAACTTATAAATTTTGGTAATATCACACACCGTTTGATATTAATATTAATAATTTTTAGGATTTTTTACTTTTATCAGTAAAATATCAACTTGCTATGTAGTTAGCATGATTTTTGGAACAATAATTTTCATAAATTTTAATTTTTTAATGACTATTTAATTGATCTAAATTTTCAAATCAAAGTGTTCAATAAAATAATTTTGAAAATTGAACTGTTTAATAGGTGTAGCTTTATAAATTGAAGTATTTAATAGGTTAAAGTAAAAATTAACGGTATCATAAAGTTAAAATAATAAAGTTTAGGGGTGAATTTAAGTGTTTTGCCAAATTAATACGTGTAACTCAAAATTTAATAGAAAATAATCAATTAACTTACCCATTCATAACCTGACATTTTGCAGTCCCTTAATAAAGAAACCAAACTTTTGCATAACCTCTAACCCAAACACTCCCCAACTTTTTATTTTAACTTTTTTAACAATATATACTGCCTTTCCCAAATCCAGCGATCAAAATCTACTTTAACCTACAATCCTTTCATCTCAACCGTTACAAACTCGTAATTGTTTTTATCACATTCCATTTGTCTTCTTTGCTTATTCTCCTTTATTTGTTCATATATAAATGTTGTGTTCTCTTTCTCTTTCTCTTCCTCTTTCATTAACTTCTCAATCTTTCTTCAGCCTCCATTGTTAACCCTCCCATTTCTTGCTAATAGCAAAACGACAACAATATCTCATTACGTTTTAAATATAATATACAGTAGCTGATCGAGTATATATAATTAAACAGGAAAAAAAATGCAGCTGATACCAACATGGCTAGTATCTTTATTGTCAACTTCATTCTTCAACAATTGCCCTAGCCATCAAGATTCTCCGCGTAACGAATGCAATATGTTTTGCCTCGATTGCGAGCACGATGCGTTTTGCTTTTACTGTCGATCTTCTGGACATAAAGATCATTTTGTTATCCAAGTACTTACGATTTTTCTTTTTCTTTTTCTTTTTCTTTTTTTAAACGTTTTCATGTTTTTTTTTAAGAAAAAGAAATTAATTATTTTGCAGATAAGGAGATCGTCGTATCATGATGTTGTTAGGGTTGCAGAGATTGAGGATGTTTTAGATATCAGTGGAGTTCAAACTTATGTTATAAACAGTGCAAGGGTTGTTTTTCTAAATCAGAGACCACAGCCTAAGACTAGTACAAGCAAAGGAGCAGTTTCTCATCTATGTGAAACATGTGGAAGAAATCTTCTGGACCCTTTTCGTTTTTGTTCTCTTGGATGCAAGGTTAGTTACATTGATATTAATGTTTAATTTTAATTTTCACTTAAATTAATTTGCATTAATGTTAATTACATTGATATATACTACATACCTCTACTCGGTATATGGCTCACCTATATAGGGATGAAAGTGGCGCGGATTTTTATGGGCCGCAAAAATCCAATCAATTACAAACTGGATTAAAAAAAATAACAAAACAATAATATTTATTTAAAAATATTTTTTTGATTTGCGGACTACCCATGACAGGCAAGAAACGATGTCAATAGTGGTATGTAGTTGAATTTTTTTCCTAGTATAAAAATTACCATTTCATTGCTGGATTCAAGAATTGAATATTGCTGGGACAAATAAATTTTGAAAATTTGGAGGGGCAAAATGAAATTTTGTTTTAAAAAAAACTTACCCTTATTTGCAACAAATGAATTCTACAAAATTTTATAAAACTTAATTTAGAAATTCATTTTTTTAAATTAAAAAAATGCAGATTTCAATTATAGGAAGTCAATTATATGAGATTGCACATAATTACACCTAATTCTATAAAAATAGATAGAATTTCCGAATGAATTTCGCAAAATTAAGAAATCCAACTTTTATGAGAAAACTATCATTCCCCTTCCATAAAAAACCCTCAAAATTTTTATTTGTTCGAGTATGAAAATAAATCGCAAATGTGGTCCACTTAATAAATGCCTAAGTTTTCTTTGGGTCCCAATTCCAATATGATCCTCACGCTTTAAAGTTAATTTTTATTTTTTACTTATTTAACTTATTTATTTGATGAAATTTGACTAAAACTATTAGAAAAAATTATTTTTTAGAACAATATTTTCTTATTATTTTGTTTTTTATTTTAATATTTTTAGTAATTTTTTTTATTGTTGACGAGAGATTCAAGTTAAATATACATTTACCACTATATTAAATACAATAACTTCATTAAATATTTTATATATTTATTTTAATAAAAATATAAAAAGTTATATAGCATAACATAAATATAATTGGTATTTATTATTTATTTTTGTGAATTTTACTATTTTAAAGATATTTTAGAAAACAAAAGCAAATAAATTTTCAATTATGAATTACATTCCATACACTTTTTATTACTTGGAATTCAATTCAATTGTTATTTTATTAATAATAGTTCCAGGCAAAAACTTAACAAACGTTAGCAGCTAAAACCAGACCAATAGGGCTCTCCATACACCCAACCTAGAAAAGAAATGTTAAGTTAAAAAGAAAAAACCAAAAAAAAAACTTGTATCCAAATACATCAAATCTAAGGAAACTGATAGAAAGATAAATTCCTGAGTTAAGAAACATAAACTTTCATATCAGATTACAAAACCATAAAAACATCTCCACAACCCTTTAACATACTAAACCTCAACGCAAAATTGCAGGATTGCAATAAACAACTAGCAGAATTACCATCCTCAAACCATAGTTAAAGCTCCCACATGGCCAACTTCATGCAATCAAGGGAATTTAACTTCAAAGTCATTTACATGTTTTAAATTAATCATACTAAATATGAAAAGTCGTTCACAATTAAATTTTATTATTAATTCATTTACAAATGAATCCTGGATTCATTTATTTCAAATGGAGTGTTAAATAATTTTTAAAATTTTTTTTGAAATTGGGGGTAGGGGCCACCCTTTATCACCTCCTTATTTTCAATTTTAAATAAATCTCATTCACCTATAAGGTAATTTTTATTTTATAGTTTCCACAAATTATCCCCCATGCACATTTTATTAGGTATGGCAGTGGCACTGATCTGACTATAAGTGTCTCTCTCCATCTAATGTGAATTTTGAATGTACAAACTAAATGTGAGATTTACATTTTGAAGATTATATAAATAACTTCTATTTTACAAATCAAAAAATTGTATGCATATTTAAATTATAACTTATATAACCATAAAGAAAAAAAAAATTAATGCAAGAAAATGGTTTATATATATATCATTATCATTATCAGAACACGCAATGTTATATGAACTTTTTTTGGAACTTAAATTGTAATTATGTTTAAAATAGAGTCTCATGTTGATTTCTTGACATGTAATTTGAGTAATTAAGGCTTAATTAATCTAAAGTTAAGTACGTGGTATTGAATACAGGTTGAAGGAATAAAGAAAAATGGGGATGCAAACTTTAACTTAACCACAAAGGAGGAAACGGAGGAAAGAAGATTAGAATCAAAGAAAGAAGAAGAAGAAGAAGAAGAAGAAGGAGAATTGCGTGTAGCAAGCCATCAAGACATGTGTGGAAATAGAAGAAGCACCAATTCAAGAAGAAGAAAAGGCATTCCTCGCAGAGCACCTTTTGCCTCCTAGTAATTAATTAATTAATTAATTAATTACTTTATATTAAATGATTTAATTTGTAAGTCCAGCTCATTCCTCACAAACCACCACGTGGGGAGTTATTGCTTAGACAAAATTTGCAAAACAGGAGAGTTTTTTTAATTGTTATTATTAAGGGATTATTTAATTTTTTTTAAAAGGTTTAAGGGATTATTTAAAAGAAATTACTAATTAATTAATATTATAGGAGTGTAGGTTATATATATATATATATATATGTTGGTAGTTATATTTTTTTTTATACTTTAATGGTATAGTATTAAAGTTTTAGGGGTAAAATTATAGTATAAAATAGGAAATTTTTATATTTATATATTTATAAAGAAGTCTTTTTATACCATTAGATTTCTATAGAAACCGTTACATTTTATTAAAATAAAAATACTTAATATTGGTAGGTTAGGTTAACAATATATTAATGGTATTTTATTTTTTTATTATTTTTATGAATATAATAGATTTTCGATTTGAATACGAAATAAAATATTTATTCTCCTATTAAATAAAAGATTTAATTTGTTTTTTCTTTAATTCATAAATAAGCTAGCTATTATTAATAATAATATAATATTATCACTATTAAAGTAATACGATCTAAATTATTTTGTAAGTTAAACTTTTATATTAGGAAAAACTATACATTGATAATTTATTTTATGTCAGTGCCTGGCGCAATTATATTTATTTTAAATACTGTTATTATTAAATTTATAATTATTTTAACTAATATATAATTATGGGCATCACAATTATTTCAAAATTCTATATCATTATCAATTAAAAAATAGTTATTTTCTAAAAAAATAGTTATACATGAAATATAATTTTTCTTTCCAATTGCTTGCTACTGGGATAACCTTGTATTAATTAATTAATTATTTAAAAATGCATGTCTTTTCCATCAATTAAAGTATATTTTTTGCCTAATAGCTAAATAAAATAAAAATATCCAAAGATTCTTGTTCTTCAGAATAAAAAAAAAAAACTATAAATGCAAAATATCTAAGTGAAATCATTTTAATTTTGTTTTTTATAATTCATTAAAATACAATAAATTTTAACAGTAAATTTCTACATGTATCCATCAATTAATTTTAACTTGATGATGATAGTCAAACTAATCAATTTGCAGTTGGTTAAAAGTATTTGAACTAAAACATTAAACTATTGTTGAAAAACTTATCACCATAATGAAGAAATGACATCCAGTACTTAATTGCATTTCAAGAAAATGCTATTTTTTATGTCTTTTAAATTAAAAAATTGGATAGAAAAATTGAAATGTCTTTATTTTTCTATCTGACCATTAAATTATCTTATTATTTGTAATCAGCCTAAAGACTTTACTCATTGTTGAAATTTCACTCTACAAAACGACCTTTGTTCCATCGGCACTCTATCTATAATTTTTAATGATGATTTCACTCTAAAGAATAGTTAGGATTAGTGATAAGATTAGATGGCAGCTAGGGTTTTCTCTAATGAAAATTCTTCGGAACGAGATAGATTTAGAGAGGAGAATGACTACTCCAAAGAAGCACCAAGAAAATTGGTAAAGATGATCTTATTAGAGAGGAAGCTATATAAGAAGATCATGGTTTTCTTGCAACAGAAGGTAATATAGATGTACCTGCTAACCCTTTACATGGTTCAGTTATTACATTCTAATGGTGCAGTGAAAATAATTGACTCCGTTTGATACTTTTTGGATGTTCTGAGGCGTATTTCGAACTTGGCTCTCGTATAGTTATGAATATACTTTTTGTAGGTAGGCTTGGAATAAGAATCCATTTCATAAACCCAATCAAATTGGCCCGCATTGTTTTCAAGATAGGTCCAATAAGGCGTATTCAAGCCGGTACTATGGATCTTTTCGACAAAAATAAGCATTTTAGTAGTTTAGTTGTTAGCTCTTTGAGTAATTTTTTATAAAACGGTAAAAACTAAAATTATATGAGTTAATTTTCACAAAACGATATCTTCTAAAAATTAGTTCAAACGCTATATTATCAAATAATATAAAAAGTAGCGTTTAGTCAAAACACTAAAAACCATTTAAAAAGTTATTGCTGAAAACATGTATTGTTTTTAACCCGTTAAGTCCTTGAAATACTATTTCTATTTTTTTTTTTTTTGAAATTGAAATATTATTTCTATTATGTTTTATGCTTATTGTTTTTTTTCTATTTAGAGCAATATTTGAGTTTTTGAGTATGGGTCAACATAATTTTTAGGTATTTGTAAAATATTCAAATTCAAATTTAAGTGACGAATGTCTAATCGAATAATCGATCTAAGTTAGACTCTATTTGAATAATTAAATTTATAAATAAATTAAATTAAAATTGAATTAATTAATTTTGAGTCAATTGTAATAAAGTCATTTTCTAAATATAAATTTACAAATCCATGTGAAAAATATTTTCTTGATTGTTCCAAACTAAAAAACAAAATAATCATGTGGTTAGAGTATTCTAGTTATTTTTAGTTCATATCACGTTTTTGTTTTGGTAAAAATACTCCAATAGTAAACAGGAAAAAAATATTTTTTTTTGGTTGCTCACCGCATGCGATTAACATATGCTATTTCTTTTAGAATAAGTTGGTAGTTAATTTGTATTTATATGTGAACTTTTTTTTAAAATATATTATATGTGAAATTTGTTAACCTTATAGTAATAATTATTAATAAAAATATGTTTTTTCAAATTAATATTTTTATCATTTTATTTATACTTATTTAAAAATAATATTAATATTATTTTAAAAATTCAATCCTAATTAAGCATGAAAATAAAAAAATAATGCATTTACGTTAATTTTATTTTTAAAGATGCATTAAACATCATAATATATAAAACAGACACATTGATTGCTTTACATTTTAACATCCATCGTTACTAAAATTTATCAAACACCAACATTAATTAGCTAATAATTATTAGCTATCAGCTCATGTGAACAATTAAGTCAAATGGATTTATAATATATTTTCGCTTATCCAATTACCTGATTATAAAAGATTTAATCTTTTTGTACAAAATCAAAAAATCATATTTCGAAGTGTCATATTTGCTTGACCATATCATTTAAAGTACATACTGAAAATGGGTAATTTGAAAATATTTGTGAATTGGTAAATTGTAATTGGAAACAAGTCTTTTTAAATCATCAACCCTAGAAAAATAAGATACCCAATCTACAGTCCCTAGTTGAATTATCCTTACTACAACATGCTAAATTGATTATAAGGAAAGGCGAAATTAATTTGTAAATCATTAAGTTATATCAAAATGATGCATGATCTAAATGACTAAAGTCGATGCCCTAAAACTTTTTGGTCACTATTTTCATTTCTTCATTAATTAATAATTTACAATTTCAATGTCTGCTCATTATGGATTGGACCGTCTTTGATGAACTTTAATATAATTTATATTTAAAACTATAATTGTATAAATTAATATGTTTAAATTGCATGATATATGTCACAAATTATAGAGGACAAAACCCTTCAATATATATGTATATAATGAGGGTGTTAAGTGAATTGCAACGAAGGACGGTGACGGTGTCGGTATATCTGTGACTGCATATTTGTCTAAAGATATCTAAAATCTATTTTTGGTTAATTTTAGATCTGTGAAATTCTGAAAAGAAACAAAAAAGAAGGAAACTGCTAGATACCCGCTGTCGCTCCCTGCTCTTTGGTCTTAGTGCAGAGGTACATACAGACACAGTCCTTCCTTGAAGTTCACCGAACACTTTCATTTATAAACATATAATTTTTTTTTTTTGGAAAAAAAAATTATATTATATATTCATGGAATGCTACACGTCACGTCCATATTAAAATCCTGGTCAAGAAGAGGTATAAAACTCTTGTTCTTACTGTATGTACTACTTCAAAATCTTTTAACAATTCAAAATATTATTTCCGTACCAGCTTTTTAAATAGTCAAAACGTTAAATAATATTTTTTATAAGGTTCGGTAACATAACGTTTTAATTAACTTTTAAAAGTTAAGATAGCATTTTATAAAAATTTAACTCATAACATTTAGCTTTTAATATTTTATAAAAGTTATTTAAACAGTTAACAGCTAAAAGCTACTGAAATGACTAATAAATACGAAAACAATTAATTTTGTCGAATAAATCCTTAAAGAAAACAGATAATAACCGATAATATATATTGGTTGTGAGCTTTAAGTAATTTCAATCTCTATAAAAATAATAATAAAAGTTTAATATTTAGAAAATACACTTTATTAAAAGAGTTAAAAATCTTTAGGTTTCAGTGCCAGAGAGGAATACGCCTCCTGTTGTGGAAATAGGAAAAGAAAACGGTACATTGAATTTGAAATTATATGAGCAAACTTAATAAAATAAAATAAAGAAAGAGAAAAAAATTAATGATGTTTTGTTTTGCAATGACCAATCACATGAAGGAATTGTTCCCCAACAGCCCTTAGCAAAACCCATAACCTAATAAATAGGCACACAAGATTTGAGACAGTAAGTTGTTATTGGAGAATATAGGTTAAGAACAGTAAGACCATGTGCACTTGATTTGGTCTTAGGGAATTCTAGGCCACCTTCAAATGTCAAATAATGGTGGAAGTCGAAAAGGGTATCCTATGCACGTAGTATAAATACAGACAAGGAAGGAAAAGAGTATGACATGACAGGTGAAGAGAGAGAAGATAAGGGAAACAAAGAAAGAGTGAGACATACACTAAGGTTTTTCATGGGATACTCAAGAGGCAGATTTGGTCATCACCCAATTTTTATTTTTATATATTTTTGTTTTGATTATATATAAAGGGAAACAAAAGAAAGAGTGGACATACACTAAGGTTTTTCAGGATACTCAAGCAGGCAGATTGGTTCACCCAAATTTTTATTTTTATAATATTTTTTTTTGGATTATATATATAATATAATATATAAAATATATATATATATATATATTATGATATATAATATTATAGATTTTTATGCTTATCTCTTAATAGACATAAGCACTGGTCCTCAATATCTTAACAAATTATTAGTATATATATAGATTTTTATGCTTATCTCTTAATAGACATAAGCACATGGTCCT